TTGTCTGTGATCAGCCTGAAGGCCGCAGCCCTCCCCGCCATCAGTGAAGAACTTGCTTCGAACCTTGCGGGCTCGTGGATAGCCGCTCTTATGTTCCGCAGGTGCCTCTTTGCGGTCCTAGACGGTTTCTTCGCCCTCGGGAAATCAGTTGCTAGTGCAGGTGATGGCAGCTTCCTTCGGGCCCTCTCTAGGAAGGACGCTCAGGAGCTCGTCCTCCTCGCGTCACTCGTGCCGGTGATGTCTTCTGATCTTTCGGCCGAGTTTTCTCCAAACATCTTTTGTTCTGATTCTTCATCAACGCACGGAGCTTACTGCTCTTGTCCAATTTCCGCTGAGCTGTCGGCCACCCTCTGGCTTGCCGCCGACAAGAAAGGAGCCTACTCCCGGCTCGATCCGCAGACGGGCGCCCGCGACGCCCTTGATAATGATGATGGCAACCCTGTTCTTGCAGAGGACTCTGTGGCAAAGCCTCTTGCTTTCGACTTTGACGTTTTGGCCTTTCTTGAAGGTTCTGCTGAGATCGCTGAAAGCTGCCAACAGTTAGAGTTGAGGGTCTCGCCTGTCATTGATTTGCGGTACTCACCTGAATATGATGCTTGTTCCCTCACGGTGACAGAATGGGCATTGCACCTCCTGTGGACTGGCAAAGCCCGGAGCTTTGTTATGGTCTTGCCATCCGGCTCGCTTGCGAGGAGCATGCCCCCCAAACAAAGGAGGAAGGAGCGGCTGGTACTGCTCGCCGAGAGGGCCGTCGCTCTCTTCAAGATTGCAGCCAGAGCCGGCCGGCCCGCATTCATCCTTGCTGCACCGAGGTCGGGGTTTTTCTCCATGCCGGCAGTGAGGCGACTTTTGGGTGCCGATGGGGTTAAAATCCTTTCTCCTGGTAACGACCCCGCTGGTGGGGCTAGGCCTGGCCTGCTAGGAAAACTCGGGTTGTGTTTCTTGCCGAAGGATGTTAAGGTTGCCCCTGCCGGATCTCCTCGCTGCCTGCCGGAGCTCATCCGCGCCTGCCTAAAAGCTGTGCAGCAGGAGCGTCCGCCTGACCCGGGACTTGAGAACGTTGTTGTGAATGACGTCTTAGCGACTGGAGCTTGGAGCGTGCGCTCCGTTTGGCGTTGGGACCGGCCTCGCCACATCAACTGCCTGGAGACGGAAGCGGGCGTCACTGTGCTCCGCGACCAGGTTCGCGCAGGAGGAGACCTCAGGTCGGTGATGATTCTTGACTCGAGTTGCGCCCGTGGCGCGCTCGCTAAAGGCCGTTCATCCGCTAGGCTACTCAGGCCTAGCTTGAGGAAAGCAGCTGCATTAGAAGTAGGCGGAGGTCTCTTCCCTGTCTTCGCTTTCGGACCTACCCGCTTGAATGCATCTGACGACCCCACTCGCAACGCAGACTTGAGAAGCCCTTGGCCCTCGTCTGTGGTGACGGGCCAGGAGGAGGCTGGCCTAGTCGAAATCTGTAAGCTGCAGGGCTGTTCGAAGCCAAGGGCGAACTGGTACCGGCTTTCGCTGCTTGTGGTCGGTCATGACCTCCGCCCTGAGCTCGTTGCTGCCTTGCTGAACTTTCCCGGAAGAGCCTGTCCTGAGCTTCCTCCGGTTGGGCTTTTCCGCGCCCCTTCTTCTCCTTCACATGCAGCCGAAGATTTTGCGGCAAAGGCACTGCTGCAAAGGGCTTTTGCGCCTCAGATCTTAGGAGAGCTCCTGCAACTTCTCCCCTCTGCCGGGAAGTTCCGATTTGGGAGGTTCGATGAGACCAAGGTTTGGACCACGGGGCTCTACGCCCAGGGGCCCTTCAAAGGGCTGCGCAAAACTGCTGAGGAGTTTCCCTTTGCAACCAAGCTCGTATGCCAAGTTGTGAAAGCCATCTCCCCCGGGCACTGGTTCTCCTCTGTCTCGCTCCTGATGCAGGTGATGTCCTCTGCCCACAAAGATAAGAACAACCTCCCAGGAGCTGCCAGCCTCGTTTTCCCATGTTCCGTCTTCTCCGGAGGAGACATTTGGGTCAAGGGTGGCTCGGAGACAAGCGGCCTGAACATCGGAGGGGTTGAGCTCTGGGGCGATCGCCTTAAAGTCTCAGAGGGCCCAGTTCTTCTTGACGGCCATCGCCTCCATCAGACTTGTGAATGGGAGGGAACCCGAGTCGTTGCCGTTGCCTTCTGCGTCAGGGCCCCTTGGTCTGTCCCATGGCGGAGACGGCGAGCAGCCGAGGCCCTTGGTTTCCGCCTCCCTAGTCGCAGCTGCGACCCTTGCCAGCCGGAGCCGAAAAGCCCCCAATTTGATTTCGACTCAACCTTGGGCTACCCCGGCGAAGGCCCCGTCAGTGCCTGTTGGCTGCCATGGATTTTCCTTGTCCTCTTTGGATTTGCCTCCTCTTCACCGCTCCTTCCGCGGAATGCTGCTGACCGTGCACGTGCTGAGCGTAGGAGTCCTTTGGGTTTACCGGTTGGTAGGGCTGTGCTACCTAGGACAGGGTCTCACCGAGCTGCCTTGTTAGCTGCCCTTTCGCAATGGACTGAGGAGGTCATGGGAACCTCGCTTCAAGATTTTCTGGACAGGAAACCTTTCGACTGCGAGGCCATTTCTGATATGTTGGTCAGGTACGGGCGGGACCTGTACGGGTCTGGGCGACCGTTTTGGCATTTCTCAGAGACGATAAATGCTGTCACTTCTGTGAAGCCGATTCTTCGCAGGCAGGTTCAGGCTGCTTGGGATCTGAGCTTCGCTTGGGTCGCTGAAGAGCCGTACAACCACCACACGGCCATTCCTGCTTCAGTATTGATATCTATCATTACGGCCTGTCTCCTTTGGGGATGGGTCTATGAGGCAGGATGTTTCGCTCTTGCTTTTGGCGCTGCGATGAGAATTGGCGAGGTTTTTAAGACGAGGAGGCGAAACTTGGTTTTACCACAGGACGTCGCTTTCTCTCAGAACTTCGTCTTGATCCAGATCGAGGAGCCAAAAACGAGGGGAAAAGGGCCAAAACATCAGGCGGCCAAAGTCGAAGCATCCGACTTGATCCGGGTCATTGTCCTCGCCTTCGGGAGACTGAGTTCGGAAGATAGGCTTTGGCCCATGTCGGCCCAAACGCTTCGAAAGAGGCTTGATCAGGTGCTGCTCCGAGTTGGTGCCTCCCCTCCACCGCCCAAAGTCAGGGCCCTCGATCTGGGCTCATTTAGGGCTGGAGGGGCAACTTACATGTTGCAGCAGACGGAGGACTCAGAGTTGGTCCGGCGGAGGGGCAGGTGGGCCTCTGCACGGGTCATGGAGATTTACTTGCAGGAGATCGCGGCCTCGACGTACCTCCCTGGGTTGCCAGCGAGGCAGAAGGAGAGGGTCTTCGGGGTCGCTGCAGGCTTTGTCTCTGTCCTCGAACAAGCGGAAAAGTGGACGCGAGCTCAAGTTCCACCAGAAGTTTGGTTTCGCCTGTGGCCAGGAGAGTTATCTACACGAGAGAGGTAGTTGTGGGAGACACGGGTACAGTCATGTTTTCCACCTGCCGATGCGCATTCCGGCAGCAGACCTCTCGTGTGCAGATTCCGACGGGAGCTAAAAAGTGAGCGCGAATCACTGACAACAGTGATGAGTGTGAAACCGGCTCCATGTCGCGGCGGTTCAAGTACCCGCCCGCCCTCCCTGGGTACAGTCATGTTTTCCACCTGCCGATGCGCATTCCGGCAGCAGACCTCTCGTGTGCAGATTCCGACGGGAGCTAAAAAGTGAGCGCGAATCACTTATTAAAGCAGACGCAGGAGCTTTTGCTGAATTAGTAGCGTAGTAGTAGTACTGGTAGTAGGAGTGGTGGTGGTAGTAGTAGTAGTAGTGACGGTGGTGGTCTTCGTGGTGGTAGTGGTAGTGGTAGTGGTAGTGGTAGTTGCAGTGGTAGTGGTAGTGGTAGTGGCAGTGGCAGTGGTAGTGGTGCTAGTGGTAGTAGTAGTTGCCGTAGTCGTAGTAGTAGTAGTAGGCGTCGTCGTAGTCGTCGTAGTAGTAGTAGTAGTAGCAGTAGCAGTAGCAGTAGCAGTAGTCGTAGTAGTAGTAGTAGTAGTAGTAGTAGTAGCAGTAGCAGTAGCAGCAGTAGTTAGTAGTGGTGGTAGTAGTAGTAGCAGTAGTAGTAGTAGTAGCAGTAGTAAAAACAGTAGCAGTAGTACGTAGTAGTGTAGTAGTAGTAGTAGTAGTAGTAGTAGTAGCAGTAGTAGTAGTAGTAGTAGTAGTAGTAGTAGTAGTAGTAGTAGTAGTAGTAGTAGTAGTAGTAGCAGTAGCAGTAGCAGCAGTAGTAGTAGTGGTGGTAGTAGTAGTAGCAGTAGTAGTAGTAGTAGTAGTAGTAGTAGTAGTAGTAGTAGTAGTAGTAGTGGTATCAGTAGCAGTAGTAGCGGGAAAATTAGTAGTAGTAGTAGTAGTAGCAGTAGTAGTAGTAGTAGTAGTAGTAGTAGCAGTAGCAGTAGCAGTAGCAGTAGCAGTAGCAGTAGCAGTAGCAGCAACAGCAGGGGCAGGAGCAGGAGCAGGAGCAGGAGCAGGAGCAGCAGAAACTGTAGCTCCAGTAGCAGCAGTAGCAGCAGTAGCAACAGTAGCAACAGTACCAGTAGCAGCAGCAGTATCGTAGCAGCAATAGTACACTCTGTTTGGAATTTGGCTGGCTTTCGGAGCAGTGGCCTGCCATGTTGCACCTACTTATCCATCCCGTCCGTGCCGACATGTGTGCGGCCTGCAGCATGTTTCGAAAAATTTCGACGCTTAGCTCTGCAGTCTTCCGGCAAATCGTGAAGACGGACAATTCCGATTGGCCATGGATGTGAGGGTTTCTGTTTGACATGTGCTTTGTTGCAGAATCTTTGGTCGCCTCAGATGTCGGCAGGCTCGTTCCAACGTGGATGCGGATGCGCAACACCCTTTTGCCGGCTCTTTGTGCTCGCTTTCTTCTGTTCCGGCAGTGTCAGCTGAAGAAGAGGCTCCTCTTACTTTTCGAGGATGAGGCTGATTTCTGTGACTGTGCCTCGCAGTAGGAGGACATGCCTCAGTGGCTGCAGTGGCAGCTCAGCCTCCGCGAATTCCTCAATGGATATCCGCACCCACGACTCAAACGACTCGGCGGCAGCGAGGTTCAACTGGCGGAATCCGCGAGCCAATGCCTCAGAGGTTCAGGGCACTGTCGTCAAGTCACACACGGCTGACACCACTGAGATGGCATAGACTGCGGTCTCTGGGCAGGACCGATGCTGTTCTGACCTAAAGTTGTCAAGGATTGTCGAAGTGAGCTGCAGGGTTCTTTCTCTCTGGCGCATGCTGGCAGCGGGAAGCAGCGCCAGACGGCTCGTGAGGAATGCTGCCGCCCGAGCTTTGCAGTTACATTGTTGCGGTGATGGTGGTTGTCGTGGTTGTTCCGGCATGTGTGTGTGTGTGTGTGTACGTGGGGTTGGGTGAAGAAGTAGTCGAGGGAATTTGCTTCGCAAGGTGTGCATCCAGTTTCGCTACCAGGCACTTGCACCTGCTGGCTGCATATACGTAGATGGTTTCTCAAGTTGGCCGGTGCATTCCGAAGCTTGCTTCAAGCCTTGCAGCATTTGCAGTGCCGAGATGACGGCGGTCATGGTCGTTCCTGTTGATAGCCCTCTGAACACCGACCCTCTCAGAAACTTGCAGATTCAGTCGTTAAGCCTGTGCGGGATTTGTGTGCCAAGCTGGCAGCTGGGCAGCTACGCCATGGTGCTAGACAAACCCACGCGATCCTTCACAGGAGGGACGGAGGCGGACTCCTGATGCAAGAGCTTTTACTAGCATTTGCTGGTGTAGATATTTCCCAGCATGGAAGCCTCAACAACGCCGCTGCCTTGATTTTGCCGAGGAACGGCTTGTCGGATTTCTGGCAGCTTCCGTTTGGTCGCTAGTGTATGTTATTGCGCCGCTTTACGACCCTCGGTTGCAGTTCCGAATAGTTCCGAAGTGTGCAGTGCATGCAAGCATTGTTTTGCCTGCCTTCTGTGAGCTGAGGCGGGTGCATGCGTCGTGTCCCTGCTCAGATATCCTGTTTGGATGGGTTCGTGGGCTTTGGTTTCGCCGAGACTTGCAGGCAGATCTTGCCTGTGAGTGTTGTTGAACCAACACTTGGACGAGTGCTGTTTACGCTGAGGCTCATCCTGTCCTTGCTGACTCCGGACCATGTGATAGAACGCTTGGGGCACATGGTGCTGACATCATGGCCGATGCAGCAGCCACTTTTCAGAAGTTTTGTCAGGAAAGAAGATTGGTTGTAGCTCGGCCGGCATGTGTGGCGGAAGCATCTGCGTGATGCTAAGGGTGCCGAAATATTTTGACTACGAAGAATACCACGAAACTTTGGACAGCCGCTTGGAGCTTGCGAGTGCGGGGTAATGGCAATGGTTTGCGAGCAATCTGTCTGTATGACAACGAGATCGGAAGGACTGTTTGGCCACGTTTTCACCATTTGCGTAGGTTTCGGCTTGGTCTCTGTTGTGAATGCTGCGGATCTTTGAACCTAGTACCGAGTGGCAGTTCGACACGATTCAGTCCTTCTGAAGGTGAGGTCCGTGCAGGGTCTCGAAGCTTCATCGTCGGAGCACATCCTCACGGCATTTTTCCCTTCACCGCGGTCTGCGCTGCCGCATGGGCCCCACTGGCAGAGGAAATGCGCATCAGCAGCAAAGCAGCATCTGGAGTCCAGGTTGCGACGCAGAATGCAGTGGATGGCTTTGGTGCGGCACTGGCAAGGGCACCTCGAGCTGACAGTGCTTACGGTTTCCAAGTGTTCTGAAATGCAGCACAACCCAAAGCAGGCAATTTTCTTCATCTTCTTGGTGTTATCAATAAGCAGTGCCCTAAGCTTCCTGTTCTCAAAGGAAGCTCCGACGGCTGCTGCATCCATCGTCAAGTATTTTCCGATCCTGAAGGATGTCGTTGGAATGTTTGGGTTAATAGATCCATGGCCTGCATTGAAGACCGATACGTCGGGTACCTGAGACATGGCATGACAGCATCATTTTCGCACCCAGGACGCAAGCAGCGCTACCTTGTTCAAAAGGCTAACGAAAGCCAGAGGCCGGCAAGGTTTTGGAATTTTAGGGCTACACTGAGAAGGGTGTGCCCTTGTCCGCTCGGTTGAGCTTTGGTTTGGCCGCTCTATCTAGCAGACCTAGCAGACGTCGGAGCATTCCTTCTGTACATTTGAGCGTCGGGTGCTGGTCACAGTCATCAACCTCTTTTCATGTACTTGTTCGAGTCCTTGTAGCACGCCCTGACAAACCAGAGCTTGTTCTCTGCTCGGAGTTGGTATGTTGGCGCAGTAGCAGCTTCGACGAAGCTGTTGTGGATGTAAACGGTTTTGTTTGTGTGTTTTGTGCGCACACTGACTCTAAGGTCAGGGTTCAAGGATTACAAGAGTACTTTCCTGAGCGTACTGTTGTAAATTGGCTACAGTAAATCAGTGAGAACATCGGGCCTCAGGTTTGTGATCGGCCATCTTCCCCGCCAGGAAGACAACATTCCACACTCCATTCTTCGTCGTGTCTGTGTGTGTGAGTGGGGAGGTTGAATATCCAACGGTGTTAAGTCCAAATCAATCATGTTTTCGTACAGTCCAGCGATGCATAGCTGCTGGTGTAGTCCCAGCTGGCCATCACAGTCTTTTCTATTCCGTGGTTCGCGTTGTACGTCGACCGCAGCCTCGCTCGCGCAGTCCTTTTTTTCTCGTCTGTTTGTCGGGCCCCCTCCCACGCCCGCCAGGAGTGGTGATTCTATACGTGGGTGGAATTGTCGAGCTCTTCTCCTCCAGCCCCAAGAAGGAGGCCGTCTACTTGAAGCAGCGAGCCGGGCTGCTTGCCTGCGTCCGGAGCCATTTTCTGACGTGGCTTTGTGATGTGCGCGTGAGTATTAGGTGCGTCGCATGACCGCAAAGGTTCATCAAACTCGCCCTGCGCACCGGTGCAGATGTCATTCCAGTCTACATGTTCGGGAATCCTAGGCTGCAGCCAGCTTGTCAAGGAACGATGCCAAACCTCAGACACCTCCGTAAAGCTCAATGGTTCTCATTGAGTTGTTGTAACTTCAATGTGTCCAGTACTTAGAAACGAATCTAAATTCGCTACACTTTGTCGGCAACATGTACAAGACAGAATTTGCAGCACTTGTTGGTCTTGTTTGGCAGCAGCACTGAGTTAAGCCAGTTGACATCTATGCGATAGCAGTTTGAATGCACTTTGATTTATGAAGACGACAGCACTCATCATGTTGACGGAGCCCTTCAAAGTTGTGCCTGAGGAACACCACGGTTCTCTCGGCCTTGACCTGGGGCCCGCTGGCATCGCTGAGCCGCGCCTTGGGGATCTCCGTCCCCTGGTGGCGCAGAGTGTGAAAACGCAGCACTCAACAAGACCAGGGCTTTGAGCCGCAAAGCCGCGAAGCCCTGGGCCGTTAGGTCACCGTGTTCTGGGGAAGATTCGGCCTGCCCGTGCCGAAGGCTGTGCAACTTGACCGGATGGATCGATAGAGACGTGCTACCTGAGTTAGAGCATTCGAGAGATGTGTCAGAGCGCTCAAAAGAGATCAAGCCAGAAGGGAGCAAAGTGAGCAAAGAGCGGAGCAGCGGAGACATCGCCGGAGCGCCGCAGGAAAAAGGCGCTGAGAATCTGCAGAGACTCAGGCGCCAAGGCTAGGCTTGCGAGGTGAAGTCGGAATCTCACAAGTGCCTGCCCGAAGCGGCTGAGGCCCTTGACATATGTCCGTGGGAGGCCACTGGGGATGCCACACATCTCCAATCCCACGGCTGTGCCTCGGACCAAAGAAAGTGCAGTGCATAGGAAGGGGGTGCTTAGATTACTCTTCGGCGTAGCAGCGTTAATGCGTGCTTTTAAACGAAATTCCCTGTGGCTAGTGCCTTTGGGCACAAACGGTCTCGGTCTTGAGTTGTGCTTGGCCAGGAGCGGCCAGGACTCGTTGTCGTGCCAGGCTGTGACTGGCTCCTGCTCCCCTGGTATGGGTTCGAAGGTCACAGGAAGAAGAGAAGGCTTCTGGGGAAGGAGCACCAGGAAAGCGGGGAAGCACCATGAACTCGGCTCAGCATGTCTTCTCGGGGACAAGCCGCCTTTGCAGTTGGTTGCGGGTGCCGCTGCTGCGGGTTCCTTTGCCATAGAGATTCTCTGCTTCTCGTAGAGAAGGCTTTGGTACCGACAGTGGTGTGCGCCTGAGGAAGACATTCAGAAGTGGCACAAGATCTACTGTGAGAAGCTCACGGAGCTTTTTGATGCCTACAAAGGTAGGAATCCAGATTACAAGGAGAAAGATCTCATCATCGTTTAAGTGTGTAGCCTCCAGCTTCGTCAGATCCTCTGCGCGGCGGAGCTTGGGAAAAAAGCGATTGATCAGCACTTGTCTTCGGCGGTTAGATCCATGAAGGTGTTGTCTATCACATATTGGAACCGGTGCTGCCTTTTCTTGCAGATGGTTGGGGCTCTGCTGCGAGGCATTGGCGAGGAGAAGCTTTGGAGCGCTTCGAGAGCACAGGCGGTGGAGTTCAGCGAGAACCCATCGCATTTCGCAGGCAGGCAGGTGCTTTTTCGGGACGGGCTCCGGTCTTCCCGGCTTCTCCAGAGGCAATTGATCGCTGGGTGGATGCGCGCCATCAGAGTCGAGTTCGACGAGCCCTTGGTGTTTGGAGGCAGCTGCACAGTTCTGCTGGTCCTGCATCACATGAAGCGGTGGAGTCCGCTCCCAGGTTGCGGGGAGCAAAGGGGGCGCTTCGTCGTCGCGGCGAGAGCCTCGGAGCATCTCGGAGCTCGGAGCCTTCTCTGCAAGAACGACCAGCTTGACCAGCTTCCAGGTGCGAATGCACTGAGTGCCTTCCTCACGGCCACACGCAGCCCTCACATGTTGGCAACCGCCACGGAGGTTTTGACAGGAAAGGAGAGCCTAGCAGAGCCTTCTACTGCCAAGACTGCAGTCCTTTTGACATGTCCAGCCGACCGCCAGGTTTGAGGCGATGGCTCACCGGCTGGAGCAGCCTCGCGCGTCGCGAGCGGAGGTGGCTTCTTTGTCATACGGTTTGTGACGAGGTGGTCCCCTATTGTGCACATTTCAGCGTCTTCGCGCCTTCGCTTTCGGCCCGATTGCGAAGTGAATGTTGGTGCCCTGGCATCCAGAAGAATCGATTGTCGTAGAAAGCCCAGCATGCCCAGGCACTAGACTTCAGGCACTTGACAGAGCTCCCCCATGCCCGCAGCTGTACTGGTACTTTACGCTCCAAAGCCCTGAATGGTTGTGTTATGGGCCAAGAGAAGCCCTTGGAGCTGTCGGATCCGGTCTATCGCTGGCAGCCAGAAGCCAGTGAACTCCTCACTTTCGACGAGGCACACCGACGGTGTGGGACTTAGACCCTGCAGTGTCGAGAGAGTCATTGCAGCCATCTCGAAATGGCTCATCGCGTCTTTAGTCAGCGTCTCTCCTCTTGCACTCACCGGAAGTACTTTGAGTCAGCAAGAAATTCGGCAAAGCTTTCTTACTTCTGTGTTCGAAACCGAGGATCGTGCATATCAAGCCGGGTGGCTTTACCACAGCAGATGTGATCGACAGGGACCGATCGGCATCTCCTCCAGATGGGCTGAATGTTGCTCTGGAGCACAATGTGCGATCCGTGCGGTTCTCTCCTGACGGGCTCTTCTTCGCCTTTCTGAGCGAGAAACGCATCGGATGCCTGCGAACAATGCAGTCGGTACCCCAGTTCCGTGGTTTTTTAGCTGAGACGCATCCATCGAGCGTCCAGGCCCAGTCTGCAGCCGATCTGGCCATCAAGCAAGTGGAGCAACAAGGCCTCGAGACCCACAAGCCTTTGCCAAGTGTCATTACGATTGACAGCAGTCTTGAGTCTTGCACATCTGCAATCCATACCTCGTGATTGCTGAAGGGTCGACCTAAGTGGAACTGGATATACAAGCACACACGCCGCTGCCTTTCTGCAACTGCTGTAGCAGCCGCACACTCAGCTCCACTGTGGGAAGGAGGGAGGGAGGGGGAGGGAGGGGGGGCGTTGCTTGAACTCTTCGCGGCGCAGGGCACCTGCGATCACCGCAATAATCAAAGCGAAGCTTCTGTGATGTGTGGGCTGTTCGTGGCGTGCACGGGTGTTTCCAAGCGCAGTCGAGACCGGGACGGTGGCGGACAGAGAAAGTGTGTTGACATCAATCGGAAAGGGAGAAGGGCTAGGTAATCCCGGCTAGGCCGCTACTGTAGGCGGCCAGGACAGAGCACCCACAAACAGCTTGACATGCCTCCGACAAATTCATTTACTGATCCGAACGAAATTGCTTGTCAGCGGAAGACTGCGGCACAGAGCCGTGTCCCCCACAGACTCTTCCTGTCCAGTCGGACTTCGAGATCTTAGCATTCTTCTGGTTGCCCGGAGAGTGCCTCGGCTCCGACTCAGGCTTAAGCATTCACTATCATCTGCCTGTTGTGAGCTGAATTGTGAAACTGAGGCAAGATGTCAGTGACCTGGCTGTCGTCACGAGTCAGGGCATTGAAGTCTTCCGCCTAAGCTTCGATCAAAGAGCAGCGAAGTCCCAGCGTACATTCCCGACGCCGGTGAGAGTTTGCTGGCTGGAGCCTTCCGCAGCGACAACCCTGGTTTGTACAGGTGCCAGAACTTTGCAGCCGTTTGATTTCCGGCGGCGGAATGCAAAACTTCCTCGATTTGACTTGGTTCTGGGTCGTGGTCAATCTATCGAGCCTGGTGATGTCGCTCTCATGACAATCTATGATTGTACCTACTGCATCCATGCAGATGGATCAAACGGGAAAGTCTCCCTGCGCAACGTTACGAATCTGGAAAAGGGGACTCCCGAGCACGACATTGTGATAGACATATCCGAGCAAGACACGCCGCTTGGTCCGCTTCGCTTGTCTGTTGTTGACAACCTTCTGATCGTGCACTGTCTGGAGAGGACCGGCGACGTCTTCACAATGTCCGAATGTCAGACTTAATCATGCTCGGGCTAGATGCACGGCTAGAAGCCCACAAACAGCAACATCTTTGAGCCTTCGTAGTCACTCGAAACCGCGCAAGAAACTGCAGGATGGTCGCATCGGTCTACGACATTCGCCACAAGGATGGCGACTCGGTTCCCAGATTGGTCTGCCAGCAAGGGGTGGAGCTTCAGACGAAAGAGCCTTCGCAATCTGCATGGCTAGACTGGGATTACCTGTCTGGTGGTATCGTGCTGGATTCGGCAGCAGGAGCAATCCACCAACTGCACTTGAACATGGGGGCAGTTTTAGCAGAGTTTCTTGCACAGGCGCCGGTTGATGTGAGTCTCGTCCTGAAGCTCTTGCTGCGGCGCACAGGCTGCAGAGAATACGTAGTGCAGACAGTTCGGAAAGCCCTGGCTGCAAGAACTCGCTCTGCAGAGCTCTTGCAGGGCTTCCAGGTGCTCAACTCCGCATATCGGCAAGTGATCGAATCTATGTCGCAGCGCTGTTCCGGTGCCGGAGTACGCGCAAGCATCTCTCTCCAAGAGCTGGAGGCTCAAATCACGTACCAATCTATGCTATCTGAAAAGGACATGGTCACGCAGGTGTTCTACCCACACTTCATTGAGAGCGAAGGTCTGGAAGAGGAGGGGTTGGCGCCTTCTTCGACAGAGCCCTTCAACTTGGCCGACTGGCATATTCCGTTCAAAGCCCGAGAGAACAAAGATCTTCCGAAGGGCAGTCCCTACATCCTCTCCGTTGTGGTCTCCTACCTACGCAGCCTGCTAGGGCTCCAGATCCTGCCCCACAAGATTCTACAATGCTTCGTCTTCGACCTGTGTGTGTACTTCAGGCACTGCGAAAGATTGATCGTCGACGGTTAGAGATTGATCATGACATGGGTTTGAACAGCGATACAAGCTGAAGCTGAGGCAGGAGCACATGCTGCAGCAGCTCTTGCACTACCATGTGCGGGGCTTATGGAGTTCGACCTGTTTAAGCACGAATCGAGCGCTGGCCACGATTCAAGCACAGAGCACACTCGGCTAGCACGCACGCTGCAAGGCATGTGCGATTGGATCAAAAGTCACGATTCAAGCACCCACGATCCAAGCACGCGCGGTCGGAGCATGCAGAGCTTTTGTTTGCAAAGGGTTTCAGGGTTTTCGATTTTAGTAGGCTAGTTTGTTGTTTTTCGGGTTTTGTGTTTGGGGTTCAGGGTTTTTAGGGTTAAAGAATTTTCTTCTTCGAGGGTTTGGGGTGTTTAAGGTTTGGGCTTCGGGTTTTGATTTTGTACACAGGGTCGTATTGTGTTGGTAGGTTCGAACCTCGCATTCGTGAGCGTCGCGGCCTGCTTGTGCAAATCTGCTGGTGCACGAATCCGACGCGTCAGTGCGTGAATCCCTTGTGTGTAATCCGTCGTCAAGTGTGTGAATCAGCCCGTGAGCGAATTTGCGTTTTCTGTGTCCATCCTGCACGTAGAGTTGTGCGGTAGTTCGGTTCCTTACGCCTTACGAGTTGGACAGTGCGGTCCTGTGCCTTCGGCTCGTCTCGTGTCCAGGTGCTGCTGGACTCTCCGGAGCTTGTGTTCCGGCTCAAAGACTTGGCGCGGCACAGCGCAAAGGAAAGGTCATGGGCCACTCAAGCCAGTCTGGCACGACTCCCAGACCTTTCCATTCTTTCAGAACTTGTGCGACACTTCCAGCTTGCAGCAAGGACATGGCCTTGCGGGTGCGGGAGTTCTCTGTGGTGGCAGACATGCTGCTTTTCTCTAGCCAATACCTGGACATCGTGTAACTCAGCTTCCAAATGTCGAAGATCAACACGGAGGTGTGGCCATGTGCGAGATTTAAGGCCATTCCTCATAAACCAGAAGGACGTCTCATTCAAAGTGCGCACTTTGCTGGAGCGTCTTGAAAACGACGCTGATGCAAATCGCAGTGATCCTGAACTTATGCAGCACGTACGACCCTCGGCACGCAGTGTGCAGCTTGCAACAGCTGCGTTCATTTGACCGCTTAGGTGCTGGCAGAAATCCGCTTGTGGAAGCAAGAAGCCGCGCTGCCCGCCTCAAGCCCGAACGCAGAGGCAAACGGTACAGGACCGGCGCTAAGGGCTAGCTATATTTGCCGACGGCAGTGGGTTCGCCACCCCTTGACCAGGAAGAGCGATGCTCCCTGCCCCGGATCTTTCCGGCTGTGAGAGGTGGCTGCCTGAACTCGACGAGGCACGGTGCTGGTCTGATGTGCCTTACACGATGACGCATGTAGTCAAACTTCTTCCCGGACTCAGGCACGATCTGGTCCTGAGGCGGCGATTTTCGATGCGTGATGCGCTTGCCGAGACTTGTTTCACAACGGGCCAAAGCTCAAGAATGCCCGATGGATTTAAAATCAAGGCCTATCACTGCGCTGAAGCTGCTGCAACAGCTGCAACTGCTGTGTGCCTTCTGATCTGCCAGGAGAGCACAGGCTTTGTCGATCCTCGTCACAAGAACGTGCACGGCTCTCGGGTCCTGTGCTCGGTTTTTTGAGCCTTTTGGAGACTTTGGACACGGGTGTTTATGTGTTCACAGGTGCAAAGCTTGTAAAGTTTGGCGAGCTGCTGCTCGACGAAGCATCGCAGCACGATTGGCTAAGTCCTCAGACTTTGTTTGACACTTCCCCCTTGCGATTGGACAGTTTCGGCGAATTCAGCTGATCCCCACGCAACTACTTGCAAGGCTGCAGCCTTCCTGGAAGCCTTTCGAACGCGGAATATCATCAGAAGATGGGTGCGCTCCCTTGCCTTGAGCTGTGTCGGGAGGGCAAACCGGGTCTCCCCGTCCGGGAGGCTGGTCAGAGGAAGGCGGAGGTTTATCGATCCAGGAGGCTCTTCTCGGCGGCATGGCGAGGCCCGAACGCAAGCGGCCCAAGCGATGCTGGAAGCCGTCGCCCCCAAAGTCCGGGTCTTCGCAGGTTTCACCATGGAATCGAAAAGGACGAAAGCAGAGTCTGCTGTACGAAGACGGGGCAGGGAGACTCAGAGAGAACTCGAGGCATCGTGTCTTTGGAGCCCTTGCAAGCATGATAGAGGCTGCAGTCACTCGCTCAGATCCGCAACTTGGCAGCAGCCTGCTGCAAGAGCCACAAGAGCTTCACTGAGTCAGACACCCACGTCCGGGGCCGCTTCCAGGCTTGGCAGCGCTGGAGCATTGCCACCGTGTGGGGCCGGCACTGTCGAGAACCTGGCCATTATGAAGATCATGCACAATGTGCGACGCTGCCAGGTTAAAGGCTCGTGAAGCGATTTGTCAGCAAAGGGCAAAGGCGCCTTGACGCTGTGTGATGTGTCAGACGCGAACGCAAGAATCAGAGCCTGGGAAGACACGACGTCTTGGCGTCACCCTTCGAAGCTGGCAGAGTTTGAAGGCGGCCAAAGCTTTTGCCGCCGATCGCCGAGCCTCCAACACATGGGTCACTCTATTCCAATAGACAAGGCTTCCCTGGCAAAGAAGCACCTTGCTTGAGGCCCACAGCACCCTGCTCGTCAGTTTCCGGAAATGGAACCGCATAGTAGGCTCGGGATTGCTTTTGGCTGCATGTTTACCAGTGCACATATTCCTTCTCTCTCTCTCTCTCTCTCTCTCTCTCTCTCTCCCTCACTCTCCTGAGGTATCTCTGTGCCTCGAAAATGTTGCTGGAAAGACATGCAGACTTACTACACTTTGTCTTTTATCTTTTAGCGACATGTTGCATGGTTTGCTGGCGGTCTAGATTCGCGCATAATTAGTACACGCTAAAGCGGTACATTTGTGTTAGAGGATTCCATGTTATGCTACAACTGCCGACTGGGATCAAAAGTGCCCACGTTGATTTTCACAGTTTGTGGAGATGGAAGCTCTTGGTGTACTTGGGGCTTGCTGTCTGCTTGGACCTAATCTGTGCCGGAGCCACCCAAAAAACCTCACAGTAAAACGAGACGTCCCCGAGAGGTCATCTTTTCAATGAGCGTCATGCGCGAGAGTTGATGGTTGGCTCCGACCTCAGAGGAGGGTGCAGAAGGGGTCCGCAAGATGCCAGAAACGAGAGCTCAAGGTGTTGGATGTTCGTCCTGGAGGCAGAAGCAAGGGATGGCAGGGGGCCGGGGCTCTAGGAGAAGTTCTGTGCTGCCAAGCCCAGCCCCCTTGGAGGCGTGACTGCACGCAGCTGAGCCGCCGCTTCTTCGCGGTCTGGGGCCAGGCCAGGGGAAAGAAGCACTTGAAGAGACGGAGAGTTCTTGTTTCGTTCTGAGGTGGTCCAGAGCAAGAGGAGGCAGCGGCGCCGTGTGAGAGAGGAGCTCCCGAGCGTCTGCACAACATCTTTCGCCATGGTTGCAGTGCCGTGATCCGCAGATATCCGCAGGCCAAAGAAGCCCTTCAGAAGTTGGCTAAGCCCTGAGCGTGAGCGTGGGATCCTGTTCTCGGGGATGTCGGTGTCCGAAGCTGACAAGGCAACCGTCCAGGCGCTTTGGTTTTGGCATGGGCGCGCCCGAGAGTCATCCATGCGAGAGGCTCGCATGTTAAAAGCACATAACGGGTGAAGAGCGAATGCTTTGAGAAGTGGAGGACCACCTGACTCGGGCCTCCATTGCCCTGCAGGATTCGGGCTCAGGGCCGAGACAGAGACGCCGTGTTTGCCTGGATGTTGCTTTGTCCAGGCCATGGTATCGACGTCCAGATGGGCCCGAGCACACGATCTGCTGATTCGATGGTTTGTTCGATCTAAAGCCACAAGGACGGCACCAGGTCCGGGATGGCGTTTCGAAGTCGTGTGAAACAGGATCATGTGCAGCGAAGCCGACCTGAGCGGTGAAGCTCCTTCAGCCCGGAGCCCAGCAGCAGCCCAGCAGCTCAGTAGCTGGTAGTGGTCCGCGCGAAGCGAGCAAAGCGAGGCCATCAGTCTGGAAGGCTCGGGCATGTCAGAGGCAACAGCTCCACGCACGCCCAGGCCCCGGCCCAGGCCTGACCACTGCCGTTCTTCGCATTTCGACGGTAGCGCAACGTTGCAGTCGCACAGTATGGGCAATGGGGAGGCAGGAGAGATCCGGAGAAGGACGGATCACCGCTCTGTCAACGGCATCCTCCAAGGCTTCGATGTTGATCAGGCCATGCCTAGCATTCGCCCAAGCTGTGCCCTTGAGACCCGGTGGCATCGTTGCGGCAAGTTGCTCCTTGCGAGACAATGACAAAGCCAGCGTTTGGCGCTCGCAGCCGTTGAAGCCTGAAACCCCAGATTAGATCGCGAGAAGAAAGTCACATCCACTACGTTTGCTGTTGAGTGACATCTAGGGCAAATGGAAATGCTAGTGACAACGTATTGGGAGTGCGCAAGGCGCACATGCGAAAGCAGGAGACCCCTTTACTAATCCCGAAGCCTATGAACCGTAAATTATAGTCTCGATTCCTTCGCCTGTTTCGCATGCGGGATGAGTGTACAGAGAGGAATCATTCCCTAACACATCTTGTCAAGACAGGGCTATGATTCCAATCTTTCTTGCAGCATTTCCTGGCCAGGCACATGGATACCACCTGTGCTTCGCCCACAAACGTGGAGCAAGGCATGGAGAGGCTTTCTGAACCTTCTTCAGAGCAGCGCCCACGGCCTGGGCCTCAACCCGTGGGACCTTGCTTGAGCCACGTGTTTCCTGTTGCTTTGAGCCCGGTGCATGATCCATTGGTGCTTGCACGCAACGATCAGCAAAGGAAGGGGGTTTCCCATCTGGTAGTGACATACTTTCCCTGGTTCTGTTGACAAGTTCTTTTCTCCCTGCATGCTTCTCTTCACTGGTTTGCGTGTACTCTTCATTCCCCCTGTCTGGGTCCTTTGGTTTTCTCGAACGACTTCCAGCAAGGAGCTTGCATTACAGATGCTTGGAGATCTCTGGAAAGACAGTTGGTAGTCCAGGACGTTCGCTGGATCCCCACCTCCGATCACGACCGGCACAGGATTTCGTGCAGCGAGCGGCTGCCTCCAGCGTCAGCGTTGGCTAGGTGGTTGCGCCTCGACTTCACACGGCACGACATAGTTCGTGACGTGAGCTCCCGGCAGCTCTCCGTGTTTCAGGAAGTTCACGGTCACACTTCAGCCTCTTTGCTGACAAATGGTTGCTTTGCATGTTGCTTGTCAGTATTTTGCATCGTGTCTCCGGCTTGTAGGCAGGTGGATGCGGCAGCGCTTCCCGTCCTTCAGCCGGAGTGCCCAGTTTTGCGAGTGTCCCTCTCTGCTTCACAGGATTTCACAGGTGTACTCGCACCATGGAGTCGTGAGGTGGGCATGCTCTGCATGGCGTGGTGCGCATCTGCACGCGAAGTTGCACCATCTGCGCATCGACCTCAGGATGGAGCTTCCAGACCTTATGCCTTATGCGCGTTATTTCGTTTTAAAAGAGCCTGTCGCCGAAAGCTCTCGAGCGCTCCGAACTGAAGTCGAGGCTTACCTATTGCCGGTTGCCCCTTAACCACTTCAGTGCGCAATGCTTATCGAACACCTGGTTCGTCTGTGCAATCTAACACGTGCTTCTGGCGCTCTTGTGTGAGGTTTGGCAATGTCACCTTTTTGTTCCTTACAGGCAGTTGTTTCTTACATTTGATTGTCAACGGAATCGAAGGCGTCTATCAGTGTTTGGACCTTGCCATGGTTACTACTCAGCAAGCTGCCTGTCTCTTTACTACTGTAGGTGTGTTTTCGACTCAAAATGTCGTGTCCTGTGTCTCCTCACGACTTCTTAATCAGCCGACGCAGGTCTCCGGGTCTCGCAGTTGCATCTAGCCCTTGCTTGATGGCTTCCAGTCGTCATCCAGCACGTTTTCGTCAGTACCAGCTTGCGCTGGTTACTACAGGAGGGATTTTTCGTTTTACCAACCCACGCTGGCGCCAGCTTTTACACTCCTAGAAGCAAAGCTGTTTGCCGCCGGGATGAGGGATCCAAAATTTGATTTCTTTCCGTCGCCTTCGAGTGTATGGTTGCTGTCACGGGTGCCGTTTTTGGGGTTCACGGCAAAGTTCAGGGCCAGTTCAGGGTTTGTTTTTCATACAAGGTTTCACCCTACGTCTCCTGCAGGGTGTAGGGTTTGCCATATTCGTTCCTGAGCTCAGAACCACACCCAGAGCTCATGGTGTCCAAAGCTTAACGTGCCAGCTCTTGGCTTAGGAGTCTGCCAACCAACAGGTTTTTGTGGTTCGCCAACCTACGACGACTGTTTGTGGTCGAGGGCTTGTCACCTGGCAAACCGCTTACCAGTTCTTTTGGAATTTCGGTTGACTACCCCATTTTCCGTTATTGCCGTCCAAGCCTGCCCTGTGGATTTATATATGTTTTGGGAAATCCGCTATCGGATCGCTCTTTCGCGTTGATGGTTTGCCACCTTTGGTTGCTTTGGGGTTGAGATTTGCCACCCGGAACGGTTCTACACGACAGAGTTTTTCCCCTTATTTTCCGCGGTGCAAGCTTGACAGCAAGACTCGATTTCCTTTACCGCTTTGCGGTGCGTATCTGCAGCCGAATGCGCCCTGTAGGGTGCAAAGTTTACCAACGCCGTCTGTAAGGTTCAGGGGTCTGTGAGCGCTTTCGCAAGTCTGGCTTTGCCGCACCATGCCATGCATTTTGGAGTTCAGAAATTGTGAGCGCAGTGTCCCGTTCCATCGCGCTGCACCTTTCCAAATGTAGGTATGCCAGCTAGCGGACTCCACACAGCTGAAACTGGCCCAGCAGGTTGTTTAGTGATAGCGGTCTCTCACCTTGTCAGATTTTAGGGTTTAGGGCCCACGAGACAGGGCTTCCCACTCAATTCCCGTTATTCCATCCGTTATGGAAGTCAACTGTTTTGGTGTCGTGCACTTGTTTCCGCAAGCATGCTGAGTGCCTAGTCCTTTTCGTTTTGCCGAGTCTTTTGGCAATGGTTCTTTCTCCTCGCCCATCGCAGTTCAAGGGACCGAAGTCAGTAAGGTTTTTTGCTAGCCCGCCTCTCCCCCGAGCCTCGCCGTTCGTACACCGTATCTTAGTGCTGTGCGTGGCGACCGTTCCGGCCCCTCAAGGCTCCAGAATGCGGACTAGCGAAGAAGCAGCGATCTAGTTAACCTGTGCACAAACTGAGTTCGCATCGAAGTTAGCTGCCGAGAATAACATGGCGGTCGTTCCAGCACGGACAGTGCCCATCATGTAGATCGCATGGGTGGCCGGCCCCGATGCCCCGAGCCAGCCGAAGCCCACACGTTCTTACCTGGTTGAGGCTTACCCTCGACCGTGACACTCTTTTGGGTTTAGGTTTTGCCACCCGGACACGTCTGGCTGACAGAATTTTTCATCCAAGTTGTTGCCACAGAAAGCTTGACATCAAAGCTCGTTATGCCGTCTAACTTGTCCGGTGCTGTTGGCGGTGTGTGCAGCCCAACGCGAGCACCAGGGCGTGAGGTTTGCCAGCGCCGATCCTATTGGCTTTGCTGGTCCTTCGAACTTCGTCTTTTCTGTCACGAAGAATTGCAAGCACAGCTACCCACCTTGGACTCCGTGCATATCCGTGCTAACGCCAGTGCTCATGTTTGCTGACAGGGGTTTAGGGCTTGGGTTTGCAAGTCTTGGGTGTTTTATGGTGTCGTTTCGCCGCCCAGCGCTGAGTTTTCCCACTTTGGAGGACGTCGCTAGAGTTTAGGGTTTGCCGCCCGCAGCAGTTCTAGCTGACATGGCTTTTCAACATGCTCTCGCATCGGGTGTTCATTTTGCCATCAAGCTTTTGTGCAGCCCAGTATGAGCTCTCGACATCAGGACGCTAGGCTTTATCGGTTTATCGTTGGGCAACTCCGTCTCTAGGGACTAATGTTGTGTCAGTTTTTTGATGCCAGGGTTCCCACACCACATATTTCTTGTTATGACTGGGGGCTAGGTCGTCACTCCGCGCGATCTGGCAATGCAACAGTCTTTTCTGCAGTTTTAGGGGTTTAGGGCTTGTCACATACCCAATGCGAAGAGCCTGACACTAATGTACCTAATGCCGTTATTCCGTGATTCTTGTGCTGCCCAACGTGTGCTTCAGGGTGGTTTGCTGCTCTAAGGTTTCGACACTTCTGGAATATCGGCTTTCCCGCACTCAGCAGTCTCTGTTCAAAGATTGCCAGCCAAAGCTGCGCTCCAGTCTCTAGTCTTGTAGTTTTGAGGAGAAGGCAGCATCCAACAAGTTTTGTCGGGCTTGAAGCTTACCACCGACCGTGGCGTTTTTTTGGGGTTCAGGTTGTGCCATCCGAACACGTACGGCTGACAGATTTTGTCATCCAAGTTGTTGTCCGGTGCTGTTGGCGGTGTGTGCAGCCCAACGCGAGCACTAGGTCGTGAGGTTTGCCAACGCCGATCCTATTGGTTTTGCTGGTCCTTCGAACTTCGTGTTTCTGTCACGAAGAAATGCCAGCACAGCTGCCCCCCTTAGACTCCGTGCATCTCCGTCCTAACGCCAGCGCTCATGTTTGATAAGAGGGGTTTAGGGCTTAGGGTTTGCAAGTCTTGGGTGTTTTATGGTGTCGTTTCGCCGCCCAGCGCTGAGTTTTCCCACTTTGGAGGACGTCGCTAGAGTTTAGCGTTTGCCTCCCGCAGCAGTTCTAGCTGACATGGCTTTTCAGCATGCTCTCGCATCGGGTGTTCATTGTGCCATCAAGCTTTTGTGCAGCCCGGTATGAGCTCTCGACATCAGGACGCTAGGCTTTATCGGTTTATCGTTGGGCAACTCCGTCTCTAGGGTCTAATGTTGTGTCAGTTTTTTGATGCCAGGGTTCCCACACCACATATTCCTTGTTATGATTGGGGGCTAAGTCGTCACTCCGCGCGATCTGGCAATGCAACAGTCTTTTCTGCAGTTTTAGGGGTTTAGGGCTTGTCACATACCCAACGCGAAGAGCCTGACACTAATGCCTAGTGCCGTTATTCCGTGATTGTTGTGCTGCCCAACGTGTGCTTCAGGGTCGTTTGTTGCTGTAAGGTTTCGACACTTCTGGAATATCGGGTTTGCCGCACTCAGCAGTCTCTGTTCAAAGATTGCCAGCCAAAGCTGCGCTCCAGTCTCTAGTCTTGTAGTTTTGAGGAGGAAGCAGCATCCAACAAATTTTTTCGGGCTTGAAGCTTACCACCGGCCGTGGCGTTTTTTTTGGGGTTCAGGTTTTGCCATCCGAACACGCCTGGCTGATAGAATTTTCATCCAAGTTGTTGCCACGGAGAGCTTGACATCAAAGCTCGTTATGCCGTCTAATTTGTCCGGTGCTGTTAGCGGTGTGTGCAGCCCAACGCGAGCAAAAGGGCGTGAGGTTTGCCAACACTGATCCTATTGGTTTTGCTGGTCCTTCGAACTGCGTCTTTTCTGTCACGAAGAATTGCAAGCACAGCTGCCCCCTTCAGACTCCGTGCATCTTTGTGCTAATGCCCGCATCATGTCAGGTGAGAGGGGTTTAGGGCTTAGGGTTTGCAAGTCTTGGGTGTTTTACGGTGTCGTTTCGCTGCCGAGCACTGAGTTTCTTCTCACTTAGGAAGAGGTCACTAGAGTTCAGGGTTTCTCGACATCAGGACGCTAGAGCTTATCGTCTGCCAACTCCGTCTCTAGGGTCTGATGTTGTGTCAGCTTTTTGATGCCAGGGTTCCCACACCACATATTCCTTGTTTCTGATTGGGGGCTAGGTCGTCACTCAGCGCCGTCCGGCAATAGTGTTTTCTGCATTTTTAGTTTTTCAGGGTTTGTCACTTACCAACACGAAGAGCCTGATACTAATGCCTAATGCCGTTATTCCATGATTCTTGCGCTTCCCAACGTGTGCTTCAGGGTCGTTTGTTGCTGTAAGGTTTCGACACTTCTGGAATATCGGGCTTGCCGCACTCAGCAGTCTCTGTTCAATGATTGCTAGCCCAAGCGCGCTCTAGTCTTGTTGTTTTTGGGGAGGAGCCAGCATCCAACAAGTGTTATCGCGCTTGAGGCTTACCACCGACCGTAGCACTTTTTGGGGTTCAGATTTGCCACCCGAGCACATCTGGCTGACAGAGTTTTTCATCCAAGTTGCTGCCACAGAGAGCTTGACATCAAAGCTCGTTATGCCGTCTAACTTATTCGATGCTTGGCGGCGTGTCGCTGCAGCCCAACGCAAGCGCCGTGCCAGTCGCTGTGGAGTTTCGGCATTTTGGCTACGCACTTTCGATTTCAGAGAATTGGAGCCAAAGCTACCCTTGAGACTCACTGCTGATGCTAGCGCTCACGATTTGGGTTGATTTTTTTTTTGAGAGTCCCGCCTGCTTTCTGCATGCTTGGAATTTGCTTTTGCCCCGCCACGAGTTTTAGAGTTCAACCAAAGCTAGACC